TAAAAATAAGCATAGAGGCATTCGTGTTCAAGAATATTTAGAGGCACATGAGGTACCAAATCTCGCGCACAATTAGCCAGAAACCTGCCAACCAGACAGCAGTGGAATGACATCTCTGGTCCCCGTAGACAATAGTGCTCATGCTGCCAGAACGCCTCCGTCCTCCTCTTCTACTTAAAATACCCCTTGTTGCAAAAACCAATTCCCCAAAAGGTATAGGGAAAAGGCATTCTCATCAGTAGACGCAGGGCTAAAGAGATTGCCAGACGGTTTGGATATGACAGGGGTAAAACGCATCACTAAATTAACATTTCAAGTCGAGCAGACACCAACGTCTCAGAAGGTCAATGGCTGAATGCGAGATGCGAGAGAGTGGTCAAACCTTCTCACCACAGTACTTTGGAATCAGTGACGTCATTAAAAGTGTGCATTGCAAACTGGGTGGTGAGAAACGAAGCACACCTTCGTGAGACGGCAGTGGGTTTGGCCACTGGAGGCGCATTCTTGTCTAGACTCCGAATGCTTTCTTCCCATAACTCCGGCTGAAATGGTCAATGAAATTCAGCATGCGCTTGGCATAGACTCGCCTCCACACCACACCAATGGAAGTGTGCAACTCCAACTTGCACAGACATTCGAACATGCTGAAAGGCCGACAAACGACGTTCTAACAGAGCAAGTGGTCAACTTAGCGGTAAGCCCGTAGACAGCAGCCAAAGTTGAAGTTGCGCTAAACACCATGACTGCGCACTACCAAGGGCAGAATGAGGGAAACGCGATTCACCAACTCATCTCGCCACAGTAGCGATCATAGTGACAGGGAGTGAAGTTGATCAGACTCTTTGTTATGCTACCTTCTCTTGTTCTCCACTCTTCTCTTCCCTCCTCTTGTCTCCCCTTGTCTTCTCTTCTGCTCTGTCCGCTTCTACACAAGATCTCTTTTGGTGCATTCACACAACTCGCCTTGATATCGTTTGAAGTCGCCTGTGGTAGAGCATTCGAATTTGAATTGATCCAAGCCAACTGGCTCACCCAAGCAGTTGACCCCAGTACCAATCCCTCTTGTAGGACTAGCTTTGTATAACCGCCGGAGTAGGGACACGTAGTTACTCGTGTCTTAGCTGCTTTGTTTTGGGAACTGACACACAACATCGCTTGCTCAAATTTAAACTGATACGTGTTAAAAAGGG